GAGTACCGCTACTACTACGACTGTTACTACTACTACTACTACTACTACTACTACTAGTACTACTACTACTACCACTACTAGTACTACTACTACTACTACTACTACTACTACGACTACGACTACGACTACGACTACGACTAACGACTACGACTACGACGAAGACTACTACTACTACGACTACGACTACACTACGACTACTACTACTACTACTACTACTACTACTACTACTAACTACTACTACTACTACTACTACTACTACTACTACTACTATACTACTACTACTCCTACTCCTACTCCTACTACTACTACTACTACTACTACTACTACTACTACTACGACTACTACTACTACTACTACGACTACTACTACGACTACTACGACTACTACGACGACTACTACTACTACTACTACTACGACTACTACGACTACTACTACTACTACTACTACTACTATTACTACTACTACTACTACTACTACTACTACTACTGCTAGGGGCCATTTTGCATATTTTGAAATCGATGCGATTCGGTGCGGTTTTGCTTACAGTTCGGTGCCCTTTTGCTCAGCTTAACATAGTGTTCATGCGCAGACCAAACTGAGACCAAGTCCAACTCTGGCACGTATGTTGGCTTCCAGAACCTCTGCGTTGACATAAGAGGTGTCACTTGGTCCTCACAGTCGTCTTGGGCTTCTCTACACTTTTAACCTTATTGTGAGGCTATCCCAAGCAGGCTGGGATTGGGCCCAGTTTGCTTGTCGCACTGGTTGGGATTGGTCCCAGTTGGTTGGGATTGGGCCCAGTTGGTTGGGATTCGGCCCACATGCGATTCGACCCCCCCCCCTCGTGACGGACGGGGGGGGTTCAAACCCCCCCCCTCTACCTCTCCTCTCTCTCTCCTCGGCTGGCGGCGGCGGCGGCGGGGACTTCGTTTTCTGGGCCGGCGCCCGCGCCTGCGTCGGCGGGCGGCGGCGGCGGGGAGCGTCGACGAGGACGACGGTGGTGGTGGTGGCGGGTTATGGTGATGTCTGGACGCCCGAAATGGCCACGGAAAGATGGGTACAATGCCCAACAACAGTTATCGCTCATCTTGAGCAGGACTCGTTGTCCATGTCGCCGCGGCCTGTGTCCATTCGAGGCTGTTGGTTTGGGAACATTTGTTGTTGGGCATTGCACCCATTCTTTCCGTACCCATTTCGGGCGTCCAAATGGTGGTGGTGGCGGTGGTGGTGGTGGCGGTGGTGGTGGTTGTGGTGGTGGTGGTGTGGTGGTTTGTTTGTGGTGGTGGTTGTGGTGGTGGGTGGTGGTGGTGGTAGTGGTGGTGGTGTGGTGGTGGTGTGGTGGTGGTTTGTGGTGGTGGTGGTGGTTTGGTGGTGGTTTTGTGGTTTTGGTGGTGGTGGTGGCAGTGGTGGTGGTGGTTTGTGGAGGTGGTGGTGGTGGTGGTGGTGGTGGTGGCGGTGGTGGTGGTGGTGGTGGTGGTGTGGTGGTTTGTGGTGGTGGTGGTGGGTTGTGTTTCTGGTAGTGGTGATGGTTTTGGCGGTGGTGGTGGTGGTGGCGTGGTGGATTGTGGTGGTGGTGGTGGTAGTGGTGGTGTTTTCTTGTGGTGGTGGTCGTGATGGTGAATTGTGGTGACGGTGGTGGTTGTGGTGGTTGTGGTGGCTGTGGTGGTGGTGGTGGTTGTATGGTGGGTTGGTGGTGGTGGTGGTGGTGGGTTGAGGCGGCGGTGGTGGTGGTAATGGTGGTGGTAATGGTGGTGGTTGTGGTGGTAGTGGTGGTTATCGTCGTTGCGTCCCCGCCGTCGCCAGCGCCAGCGCCGGCGCTGCTGGCCGCCGCCAGCGCCGGCGCCAGCGCCAAGGAGGGGGGGTTTGAACCCCCCCCCTTCGGCGCCAGGGGGGGCGGGGGCGTTGAACCCCCCCCCTCCTTGGGCTGCCTCTGGTCATCGTCGCTGCGTCCCCGCCGTCTGCGCTGCTGGCGGCCGCCGGCGCCGGGGTTCGGGGGAGGGGAGTGCCTTTGGTTTGATCGACGGCGCCGAGTGTTGGAGGGGGAGGCCACCCCACGGTTCGAAACGCGCCGCCGAATGTTCCCAAGGCAAGTGCCCGAGAAACGCGTTTTGTCAATTGTAAACGTCGTCGCGTTTGGCTCCTCAGGCCTGAATCTGGAGGACGTCTCAAGCAGGGGCGTCGTCTGTGAGTGAACCGCGAGGAAGTCTCGAGCGGGAGCCCCTTCCTGTGGGGTCCCCCCAACTTCGAAACCGAACGGGTCATCCGAACCATGTCATTGTCGTCATTGCTCGGCTCCTCCGGCTTGAATCTGAAGGAAATCTCGATCTGGGGCCTCGTCAGCAAGGGAATCACGGGGAACTGTCGAGCGGGAGCTCCTCCCTAGGGGGTCCCCACCTCCACGTTCAACAACAGGGCTGAGGCGGAGCTCGCGGCAGAGCTGGGCTCCGCGCCGCCTCCTCCCTGAGCGCGGCGGCGCCCAGGTCGAGGCCCGTGGACTCGTCCCGACCAGGGCAGCAGAAACTGTACATGATCCATATTTCCCATGGCGTGGCCCATGCTGGGCCCAGGAGCAGTGCACATGCATCCTTGGCCAAACCAGGAGGGCGTATGCACCGTTCCTCGTCCCAGGATGGGCCAGGCCTGGGCGGTGCGTGTGTGCAGATCCCCTCGCCCTGCCAGCGGCTTGCTCCGGCGCCCCAGCGGCCCACGGGGCTGTCCCTTCAACGACCTGGCCCGCGGGGAGTGCCCCAACGGCCTCGCGACCAATCTGCCGGAGAACGCGCACATGTCGGCCGTGGCGGCGAGGGCGCCGAGGAAAATAGACGCGCGCGCCCCGGCCAGAACGAAGGGGAGGTGCAAGGCGAGGAGGAGGTGGAGGGGGAGGCGGAGGATAAGGACGAGGAGGAGGGCGACGAGGAAAAAACAGGAGGAGGAGGATGTGGCAGGAGGGATGAGGAAAGAGGAGACGGCAAAAGGGGGTAGGATAGATGATTCCTTGGTCCCACGGTGAAAGTCGTGTTTCTGCCGTTGTATTTTCAAGACAGGGGGGGGAGGCGGGGGGGAGGGGAGCGAGGAGGGGGAGGGACGGGGAACCAGGGGAGGGGGATGAGGCGAGCTAGGTGCGCTCGCGTTATACCTGGCACCCCCTCCTTCCCATCCCTTACCATGGCGGAGATCCCTTTCTACTCGCACAGTCGGATGCTGAGCAGGGCAATGATCCCGAAAGGGTACGCGATGCATAGTAAAGCACGGCATGGTATGTCGTAGAAAAGCACAGCAAAGCTTAGTACGTCTCAGCGTGGCGTGGCGTGGCGTAGTGAAGAATTGCATCGCAAAGCTTTGCAACGCAAGGCATGGCATCGCACAGCGGCCCCGAACATAACATTGCATATCATGGCGTTGAAGACCAAACCGTAGCATGGCAGAGCATGACGTGGCACTTACGCACCGGATATGCCAGCTGCAGCTGAATGCGTGGCATCGCGCAGCGGACCGCAACCTAGCATTGCATGGCATGCCGTGGCAATGCACGGGAAATGATGCCAGCGCTGCAGAGGGAACGCGATTCGGAACGAACGGAAGCGCGGAAATGAGGCCAGCGCTGCAGCGGGAGTGCGATTCGGAACAAGCGGAAACACGGAAATGAGGCCAGTGCTGCAGCGGGAGCACGCTTCGGAACGAGCGGAAGCCCGAACATGAAGCCCGCGCCTCAGCGAGACCATCATTTCGAAAAAACCAAAACCCAACTCCGGGAAATCCGGCGTTTAAAGAAACAGTGCGCGGAGGGATGCCCGCTATTTTCCGCGCGCCATCAGGGAAGGACGAGAGTAGTACTCATATTGTGTAATTGTACAAAGGCGGAGGATGAAATGGAGGCGGAAGGGGCAAATTTGGAGAAGGACGGCGAGCGAGTAAATTGACGAGGAGGAAGAGGAGCAGGAAGAGGAGGAGGAAGCGGAGAAGGAGGAGGAGGAGGAGGAAAAAGTGCAACACCCCCCCCCCCGGGGGGGCGACCACCCCCGGGATTTTAACCCCCATTGCTCCAGAGGCGCGTGGAAACGTGGGGAAGAACATGATGCGGAGGGGGGGGAACGGGAGGTCAGAGGTATTTCCCCTTTGCTGTTTCTCGTTTGGCTCTCGTCGCCGCAGCTGGGTTCGCCTCGAAAGATTGATCAGATCGCACCCCGGGTGAGGTCCGGGACGTAGCGGTTTCGGTGCATTTTTGGTTTCCCTAGGAAGGGGAGGGGGAGCAGGAAACGGGGGCGATGATGATCAGGAGGAGGTGGGGGCTTTTGTTAGGTAGGCTCTACTTTTTTGTCGTTCCGTACCCTCTGGATTACGGCGTACCCGGCCGTTAGACGCATGCGTAGGCTTCTCGGATCGTTCCCAGTCTCATTGCTTCCACTGTTTGGTTACGCGGCTGCTGCGGTTGCGCGGTACATTGTTGTTTGTTTCATGTGGGCGTTCCAGTCATACGGTGTATGTGTGTTTTCAGCAGCAAGAGGCGGAGTGCTTTCGGGTACTTCCGTCAGCCTCTGCGCCTCTTGGCGACGTTCCACCCGTGCCGTGTTCGGCATAAAGAAGCAGACAGCATAGTGAGCGCACGTTTTATTGTGTGTACACTTGGCCAGAATGAGGGGTCCGAACGTTTCTGCACCATCCTTGGGTGCGTGGAGGAGGAGGAGCAGCAGGAGGAGGAGGAGGAGGTGTTTCTTGCTGTTGACGTTGCCGCACTTGTCCTGTTAGGACGTAGTTGACCAGCCAGGGGTAGTCCAAACAACCCCGGCAATCAACCTCACATACGGATCCAGGCTGGAGTGAGGAGGACAAGGTGGACAAACGAAGCGTCGAGCATCCGCAATGCGCAGATGGAGATAGAGGGAGGCGTGAAGGCTTCTTCGAAGCACCCCTGCTTCTAAGACGCGTTCCCCCCTCCCCCAATACCCCCCTGTGCGCGCAGCCGAGAGCAGCAGGAGGAGGAACCCCGAGCCGCCGGCGAGGACGACAAGGGCAGCCGGAGCATCCTTAGGCACCCGCTGCGGCCCCGATACGGCCCCAGCGCGCTCCTCTGCGGGATCGCCTGCCTTGTCCCGCGGGGGCGTCTTGTCCGAGGAGGGGAGTGTGGGAGGTCGGTTCTTCGAACGCACGAACGAAACTCGCAAGCTCCTCCTGGTCAGTCCTTGTGATGTTCCAACCTGCTTGAGCCACCAGAGAGAATTTCGAGCACCAGGAAAGTACCGAAGCTGGGGGGCTTTTTCACGTGTCGGGCCCTGGGAGGCGATACTCGTTCGACACCGTTTCGATACTTTTCTGGGCTCTCGAATCCGTTTCTGGGATGTGGTCCTTAGGTTCGATGGGAGCAACACAAGCCCTTCATCAGAGCCCCGAATCATCAGAGGTAACTCGGGTCAGGGCTAACTCGGGTTCGTTATTCGGGAAGCCGAGCCCAGGTGACCCAGGGCCCGAGTTACCCCGGATCACTCGCGTGCCCAGCTTCCCCCCCCCTTTCGGGGGCGCCCAAACGGTGCGGTGACCACACCGTGCGGTGAGTCAGTGGGGATTCGGGGTCACCGCACGGTTTTGGGACTCGGGTCGTTCTCCGAGGACTTCTCGGGCGACGGGGGCCTCCGAGGTCCCAAGACCGTGCGGTGACAGACCGTGCGGTGAGGTCTGGGGAGATTTCAAGGTCACCGCACGGTCTGTCACCGCACCGTTGCGGGACTCCCAGTCCTCCCGCTCACAGCAGGGTCGCGGGGGGTGCGAGGCCCTGCCGGAAGCGGAGACGGGGGGCGGGCAAGACCGTGCGTTCCGAGCTTTGTGCCGCGGGCGCGGGCGGAGGCGGGGGCCAAGGGAGGACTCGGGCACAGCGTCACGTCGGGCCTGTCCCTCTACGGGAGGAGCATTCCCAAGTAGTCCAGAAATAATTTGAGGGAGTTTCTGTGGAACTCACGTCATCCTCACCCCCGGCGCGAAGAGCACGAGTCCAGAGCGGCCTCCGGCACCGTTTCCGGACGGATCCGGACGGATCCGCTGGATCCGGGGACGAATCCCAAACCGGCGCCCTCGCCTGAGACATCCCCGCAAAACCGGCCCCGGGGGAGGTGCCCAGAGGAGCCCAGAGCGGCCTCCGGCACCGTTTCCGGACGGATCCGGATCCGCTGGATCCGGGGACGAATCCCAAACCGGCGCCCTCGCCTGAGACATCCCCGCAAAACCGGCCCCGGGGGAGGTGCCCAGAGAAGCCCAGAGCGGCCTCCGGCACCGTTTCGGACGGATCCGCTGGATCCGGGGAACGAATCCCAAACCGGCGCCCTCGCCTGAGACATCCCACAAAACCGGCCCCGGGGGAGGTGCCCAGAGGAGCCCAGAGCGGCCTCCGGCACCGTTTCCGGACGGATCCGGATCCGCTGGATCCGCTGGATCCGGTGACGAATCCCAAACCGGCGCCCTCGCCTGAGACATCCTCACAAAACCGGCCCCGGGGGAGGTGCCCAGAGGAGCCCAGAGCGGCCTCCGGCACCGTTTCCGGACGGATCCGGACGGATCCGCTGGATCCGGGGACGAATCCCAAACCGGCGCCCTCGCCTGAGACATCCCCGCAAATCCGGCCCCGGGGGAGGTGGCCAGAGAAGCCCAGAGCGGCTTCCGGCACCGTTTCCGGACGGATCCGGACGGATCCGCTGGATCCGGGGGCGAATCCCAAACCGGCGCCCTCGCCTGAGACATCCCCGCAAAACCGGCCCCGGGGGAGGTGCCCACAGGAGCCCAGAGCGGCCTCCGGCACCGTTTCCGGACGGATCCGGACGGATCCGCTGGATCCGGGGACGAATCCCAAACCGGCGCCCTCGCTTGAGACATCCTCACAAAACCGGCCCCGGGGGAGGTGCCCAGAGGAGCCCAGAGCGGCCTCCGGCACCGTTTCCGGACAGATCCGGACAGATCCGGTGGATCCGCGCCCCGGGGGAGGTGCCCAGAGGAGGAATGAGGAGGAGGAGGAGGAGGAGGAGGAGGAGGAGGAGGAGGAGGAGGAGGAGGAGGAGAAGATGATGGAGCTGCGGGGTGGAGGAGGACAGACGGAGGCAAGAGAAGGATGGAGGAGGAGGAGGAGGAGGAGGAGGAGGAGGAGGAGGAGGAACCTCATCCTCACCCTCGCCAACAAGCGCACGCACCTTCTTCTATATACAGAAACTCCCGATCAACCGCAGAGCGGCCGGCTAGTATGGGGACCAGTTTCTAACATGTTTGACTCGTGTCGACTGGGCTCTACGATTTTTCGACTATTTGTGGCTACTTTCGAATACTTTTTGGATATCTCTTACCAGTCGTTCAAAATCCGCCTGCAGGAGGTCATGCCCGACCTAAACATAGCCTCGCAAGCGGACAGCATCAAACGAACGGGCAGACACGGCACTCGCAAGCGCTTCAGCGAGCCCCCTGCGAGTCCCAAGCTGGAATAGCCCCCACCAGCTCAGTGGCCCCCGAGAAGCCGACCAGCGTGGGAAGCGAGCGGGACGACGCGAGAGTCAATCACCGCTCCCCGCATTTCAGGCAATCCCGTGTCGCTGGGGTCTCCGCCATGCTGGAATAGCCCCTCCAGCTCAGGGACCCCCGAGAAGTCGACCAGAGCGGCAAGCGAGCGGGATGGCGCAAAAGTCGATCACCACCCCCCGCACTCCAGGCAATCTTGGGTTGCTGGACTCTCCGCCACGCTCTGGCTGCTGGGAAGGTCCACGCCGGGGGGGGGGCCTCAGGGAGCGGAAGCATTGGTTGCTCTCGACGCCAAGCAGCCAGAAAGAGCTCGGCGGCGACAGACGAATGATGGAAATCTCCTCCCGGTCTCCTCCTCCTCCTCCTCCTCCTCCTCCTCCTCCTCCTCCTCCTCCCTCCCCCTCCCCCTCCTCCTCCTCCTACTCCTCCTCTCCTCCTCCCCCCTCCTCCTCCTCCTCCTCCTCCTCCTCCTCCTCCTCCTCCCTCCTCCTCCTCCTCCCCCTCCTCCTCCTCCTCCCCCTCCTCCTCCTCCTCCTCCTCCTCCTCCTCCTCCTCCTCCTCCTCCTCCTCCTTCCTTCTCTTCTCCTCCTCCTCCTCCTTCCTCCTCCTCCTGCTCGTCCGTCGGGCCGCCGCCCGGCCTCCGCCCTCCCCCTTCCCCCCTCCCCGCTGCTGCCTGCTCCTCGCAGCTCCTCCTCCTCCTTGCCCCCTGGCTCTCTGCAGGCCCTGCCCTGGGTTCCGGGTGCCGCACTCCCTCCTCGGCTCCTCTGCTGCCGGTTGCCCTCCCGGGTCCTCCACTGGGGGGCCGCAGGCGAACCCTGCCCCAGCCCCCCTCCTCCTCCTCCTCCTCCTCCTTCCGCCTCCTCCTCCCTTCCTCTCCTCCTCCTCCTTCCTCCTCCTCCTCCTCCTCCTCCTTCCTACCCCCCACGATTTCTGAGGGGGAGGGTGGGGTTCACTTCGCTCGGGAGCTCCCGCACGGAGTGAACCCCACCCTCCCCCTCAGAAATCGTGGGGGTAGGGGCAGGGTTCGCATGTGGCCCCCTGTCCACGGTCTCCGCAGGCCTTTTCGGCGACTGGTCGCTGCACGGACAGATGCTTTCGCCAGTCAGTGCCCATGGATGGCTGCCGTGTGCTGCACTGCGTCCCACTGTTTCACAGCCGCGCCACTTCTCTGTTTGTTGGACGATGTGCCAATGTACCTTTAACGTGCGTGCTTTTGCTTTGTCGTTTTTTTTTCTTTTCTCTCTCTCTCTCTCTCGCTCACGTTTTTTGTTCTTTCTCTCTCTCTCTCTCTCTCCCCAATGCTTGTCCACTTATGTTCCATCGACTTACGATGGTCAGTCCGGATATGTCGGGGCACACATACGCAATTCGATGCAATTCCGTACGGGTCAGTGTACATCCTGATAGATTCACATGTACTTGGCGAGAATCGTCTGGGATACCCAGCGAGGCCTTATGGACAACAGAAGTCGCTATGCTTATCACAACCGATCGATCCAAATTCGGTATCGGTTATGGTATGCTCGTCCCGAGTCGTGTCTGATATTCGGGTGATCCGATATGAACCGATGTTTATGTGGCGATGCTGCGCATCCTGACGCGCCCGATCTGACTCTGACCCGATTCCGGCTCTGGGCTGACGTGGCCCGATCCGGAGCGCATTCCGATTCGATCCGATTCCCTGATGAGATGCTGATTGCGCGCTGCCTGGCAGTAGCCTGGCAGAGTGCAAAGTCGCAGACGATTTCTCCCCCCCCCCGCAATCCCTGAGAACCTCCCTAACAACCCCGTCGGTTCCTCCGATCCAGTCCTCCTTCTCCTCTCCCCGTCCCCCCTGCACCCATCCCCTCCTCTTGCGCCTGTCCCCCCTCCCCCCCCTCCCCGCCCTCCCCTTCGACTTCGACGACGACGACGACGACGACGACGACGACGACGACGACGACGGCGACGGCGACGGCGTTGACGACGACGGCGACGACGTTGACGACGTTGACGACGACGACGACGACGACGACGACGACGACGACGACGACGACGACGACGACGGCGGCGGCGGCGGACGCGTCGGCGGCGGCTGCGGCGGCTGCGGCGGCGACGTCGACGACGACGACGACGACGACCACGATAGCGACGAAGGCAGTGGCGGCGGCGGAAACGACGGCGGCGACGAACGCGGCGGCGGTGGCGGTGGCGACGTCGACGGCGAAGGCAACGACGACGACGACGGCGGCGGCGGCGAGGGCGACGACGGCGACGGCGGCGGAGGCGGTGGCGACGACGTCGGCGATGGCGGCGGTAGCGGCGACGACGACGACGACTGGCGGCGGCGGCGAGGACGACGATGGCGATGGCGACGACGACGGCGGCGACGACGCCGACGACGACCCCACCGTCGACGACGACGGCGTCGTCGACGCCGACGACCGCGACGACGAGGACGACGACGACGACGACGACGACGACGACGACGGCGGCGGTGGCGACGACGACGACGACGAAAGCGACAACGATGACGGGGGCGGCGGCGGCTGCGGCGGCGCG